AGGGAGAAGGGGGGAGGAAGGCCAAGCCCCAGATTAGGAGCAGGTCAATTTTAATTCGAGGGTCGAGCCCCTGTATTCCTGGCTGGGGGGAAAAACAAACACCCATATTTATCTCCGCTTCCAATTTGCCCCCAGGCCCAGGGATGGGGAGGAGGCGTGGAGCGCGGGCTGGGCCGGAGGAACAGATCGGGTGTCCCTGCCTTTTCCTTCTCTTTCATGTGGAGCTCGGAGGGAAGCGGAGGGGGGCGGTGGGGCTGCGGGAGGGCGAGTGGGTCAAGAAGGCTGGACCTGCTTGGCGAAGACCGCGATGTCCTCGTTGAAGGAGTCGGAGGAGCAGACGTCTCCGCCAGCCACTCCGGGTTCCCGGGGAGTGCAGGTCGCCAGCTCGCACTTCTCAAAGACCAGAGCTAACAGAGGAAACAACGGGTGCCTAACGGGCAGCGCCACGCAGAGACACGCACACGGAGACGGGGTGCAGAGGGGGAAGGAGCGAGAACTGTAATCAACAAGTTTGGAGGGTTCCGATTCCTTCTTTACCACAACAGGCACGCACCACACGTTACAACCCTTCTCCAGCTAGCCGAGCCTGGGCCAGAAACAGAAAGGAAAACCGGCCTGGCTCTTGCCCTCGGCCCAGGGGTCCCTCAGGTCTGCGGGCAGGAGCCCCCGGCCCCTCCAGCCCGCCAAGTAAAAAAAAAAAGAGCCTCCGCTGGAACGCAACGCACCGTCCAAGAAGCTCAGGCAGCCCGGAGCCTGGAGAGGATCCAGACCCACTCCCCACGCTGCAGGGGCCGCCGAACCAACCCCCGAGACCCAGCCCTGACCTCCCCAGAAAGGGACACTCTGTGAGAGAGAAAATCGCCCGAGCCCCGCATTTTAGCGGGCGTTTCAGAGGAGGCCGAAGCCTGCGCCTCCGCACCCACCCGAGGTGATGTTTCCCAAACCGGCGAGAGGGCTCCTCTAACCCCTCCAACTCCCTTGTCTTGTAAACTTATTTGCTCTACTTCTAGTAAAGCCCGGGTGTGGGGGCCAAAAGAATAGGCCATCTTAGCCGCCGAAGGGTTTCCTTCCAAAGACGTATTTCTCCAGCCGGCAAAAAATAAATAAAACCGAGTGTTAAATCTCGGGAGTGTGCGTGCGCGTCTGCCCTTTGTGTTCCTCCCGGCGGCTTAGCTACACTTGGGGATGCTTGCGGCCTCTGACTCCAGGCTCAGCGGCTGCGGACGGGCTGTCCCCTCCCCTCGGCATCCCGCAGGCTTCCCCACCTACCCCTCGGCTGGCAGAGCCCGAGTGGCGCGCTTTGGGGCCGTGCAGCCCCCTCGCCTCCCCGAGTGCTCTCAGGATGCACAATAATTTCCAGCCAGCTCCCTCACTCTCCCCCAGCGCGGCTCGGCGCAAGCAGCCAGTCCCTTCCACCCGGCTGCACTTCAAGGTCTGCCCCCTTTATTTACAGAGAATTACGAAGGGGGTGATTAGGACTTCCTGGCCGACAGAAGCAGCCCTGATCCCAGCTCAGGCTGCATTTAGGGACCCCCAGACTCTCAGCAGGAAGCACAAGAGAGAGAGAAAAGTTGCTCTTCATCGGCAGGAAACTTTCTCCTCCGTCAAGGCCTCTGCGAGGGGGCCTGGAAGGACTAGCCCTGCGTCCTTTGGCCAGGAATCCCGTCCTTGGGGAGAAGGCCCTGGCAAGACTCTGAAGACTCAGTCACTCGGGCTGCGGGGCCCGAGCTGACAGGGCCACGGGGGTGCCGGAAGCCATGCCTTCCCGGGGACTCGCCCCCCAGGGGCAGGGGAACGGGCGCCCCGCGCTGCCCTTGCTGAAGGCCAGCGGTCCCCCTTTCTCCCAGCAGAAGTCAGTCCTCACTTAATCAGCCGCCCTCTCAACCCTCCCCCCGCCCCCCAGGCAAACACACACTCAGACTCACACTCGCACTCAGCATGCCAGGTGGCGGTGGGGGGGCGGTTACCCGTAGATCGCGTCCTTGTCGCGCTTCAAGGCGTCGTTGACAGCGGATCCCATGCTGGCCGGCATGACATTGGGGTGCGGGGCGTGCGCGCCGTAGTGCTGCGTGGCGTGGAGCGGCGGCCCGTGGTTCAGGTGGTGAACCGGGGGGATCGGCCGCGGCGCGTGGGGGTCTCCGTACATGGACGCCGGCACCCCTACTCCGTCCA